TTTTGCCGTGGCAAGCGGATGGCTTTCTGAGTGGGCTCCTGACGTGAGGTTCAATTTTCAAGGGCCAGCCCACGGCATAGTGAATGGAACAGATGGTACAGGCTGCAGTTCAGCGCGGCCAAAAATTGTGTGTGCTCTGTGCAAGAAGAGGGAAGAGTGCTGCGACGAGTCGGAGGATGCCCCTCGACACAGTTTAAAAAAATCCCAGCCAAGACACCAACCTCGCAGTCGTTTGGACTGTGACCCTAACGAACTTAATTTTTGGGGCCTTGATTTGTGGTTGCTGGTGTGGAGTGCGACGGACAGTAACCTCGAGAGACACCCAGTCCGAGGCATCTGACTTTGCCAACTCTCCTCGGCCTGTTACTGAACGACGTGCCCTGGCGCAGCAAGAGCCAGCCGCGTTGAGGCTGAGGCGACATGTCCTTGAACAATAGCCGGGACCTCACCTTGTACAATGTCCCCAGTTTGAATACAGAATTTGCGGCGTGAACCAATCGCCATGTACAGGACTGAGCCACCTGGAAGGGGATGGAAGGGGAAGAGTGTGCCGTGGCGACCCCACACCAGGATGTCTTTGTGGAGCAACAGTCGTTAGCAAGCACTGGGCGCCAGCACTTTCGGTGGGATTGGGAGCAAGTTCAGTATTCAGGGTGTCTTCGGGCGCTGTGTCGGGAAGCCTGTCCAGTGGAACTTCACAAGGGCGCGAACATGTAAATGTTGACGTATATAACTTTGTATGTACCTTGTCATTGAAGGACTGGGCATAGAAGGTCATCACGAATTATTTTGCCAACTTGAGTCCCGTGTGTGTGGAGTTCAAGAGCATTTGAAACGGTCGATGTTGGCGAGGCATTCTTTTCAAGTTGATCAGCCCAGCGCTTGTAGTTGCTCAGCCCAGAGGTCGGCTGTCTGTGGAAGAACAAATGACCTCGTCTTGTTGTCACAGTGGTCCGCCCGGACCTTTTGGATGACTTGAAGACAGAAGTGGAAGTGGAATGAGATGCTTCCCTCGCCAAGAATATGAGAGAGGCCAGGGAGGAACGAGTGCCTGCAAAAAATGCCCGCAAAGCAAAAAGAACAATATGGGCAATGAGCAGACATAAGAGGCCGGTGTGCGGTGCCAGCGGGGCGGGCGTCGGACTAGGATCCTATACCCGATAGATCCCGACAGCATGCAAGTTTCCGGAAATCAAAAGATTTGTTCCTTCTTCCCGCGCTTCGGGGTGACCCGTGGTGACCCAGGTGCGGATACAAGGATGAGTCGTACTTGCCAGCGGCGGGCCAGCGCCATTTTCACATCATAGATGAGGCTAACTGGAATTCAATGCACAAGGCTCTTGCAGATGATGAAAGATACCATGAGGACGTTTTTATTGGAGCCTCCGCTGCGCAGAAGGCGACGGATGTGCCGGCCACCAGCCCTGACCAGCACCTCAGCAGCGAAGTTCGCCGATGGCTACGTGGCCGACCAGCTCCTGGGTGCCGTGGCCGCTTACGATCCTGATCGCGTCTCGCTACCAGAGCCGGGATGGCCCATCCTTTGGGCCCGAGCGGGCGAGAGTGCATCAAGACGAGCCAAATCATTGTTGAGCGTGCACGCGATAATTGGCGGCTTGCTGCAGATTCCAGCGTGATGGGGCAAACTGCGTGCCCGCCCGCCCTCCCTCCGTATTGGTGCCAATATGCGCCAAATCAAAGTGGTATGACTTGGATGCTTGGGCCTGCTTGGCCCTGCAACTAATTTGTGCCTGCAATGAAAAAACTCTGCGTGTGTGGGTTTGGGGATGCTAGGGGGCATCATTTCAAAGTCCGGAGATGTATGGGTTGATTAAAAAAAATTTCATGAAAATGTCAGGGACAGCCGACCCCTTAACCATTCCCAGAATTTCGAATGCGTTGCCAAGCGTTTCAAGTTTTGGGGGTGTTGCGCTTTCAAAGGCCAGGCATCGATCTTTGGAAGAGTGGCGTTGCCTCATGAATACTCGAGATTAAACCGGGGTGTGCAAATTATTTGTGGAAGAGCATGGTCTTTTGGAAGCTTGAAATTTGAAATGACCCTTATGTTACCAACACACAGAAATTCATCGAAATATTTTCGCGCCGGTGTGCTTGTTTTTTCACGTAGGGTTTTGGTGAAAAACACAAACCATTTTAGAATCTGGTAAAATCTCAACGTCATTTGGCGTAATTGCAACATACCGAAATTGGGATATATTTATGCTGCTCCTATTTGTTTGGACCTTCATGGGGCACTTTGTTTGGACCTTCATTGTCTTCTTCCGCCTGTCTGAGCTGGGGGGTGGCCTGGCCACACCCTGCAGTGCCGGGGCAGTTTTTCTTCTTGAAGAGCCCTGGAGTTAGACTTGGTCTCATGGGGCACCAGCAGGCAGCAAATCGGCAGGAATCCTTTTGTTTTGGTGAACTTTTCCCTATTGTTTGTTTTCGTTTATCTCGCTCACAGACCAGTAAGCATCCAATCTTTCAATCCCGTTTGACAGCCGGCAAGACAATGGGTGGCCGCTTCTGGTTTGGGACTTCAAACTCAGTAGCATGTATGACCTTACTCTAAAATCTGGTTTTCTATGTGCAGGCGTGTTCGGGGTGGGCACTTTGGCTCCCTGCTATAGCTTCTCAATGCCAAAGGCCTCACCCAGAAAGATGCTGCCAAAGTCAAGGTGGGGAATCTTCATGCGGTTTTCAGTGTGGGTCATGAGCCTGGGCATCTTGCTTGGGATACCCTTCAGCATGGAGAAGCCCAGCAGCTCGTGGCTTTGGCCTTGCCCTGGAGTTCTTCATCTTTTTGAGGGGGCCTCAAGCCCCTGCCCATGTTCCAGCAGGTTTGTCACAATACCACATCCCGTTGGGGCCCTCGATGGCCCTCGTCAATTTGAAACTTCTTGCTCAGCACCGCTGCTTGGGCGGAACAAGAGGGCTGTGTGCTTGCAGCGGTATTCCGCAAATCACCCTGGCCAGCACCAACTCCCATGGACAATGGATGACACATGTTAGAGAAACGTATCCACATCGTCTTTGCGGGCTTGTCGCTCCACAGTCCCATGCTGGCGATGATGTGAAAATTGACTTTCCTTTCCAGCTGCCTTCAGCACTACCGTATGAGAGCTAGTGACACAAACCGCCGGAGGCTGGGGAGCATGCAGCAACTAGTGGATTCTGGCGCCCCTCCTGTGCCCAAGTCCGGTCTTCTTGCGTGCCACAGACTTTTGACGGCCTGCGCGAATCTTGCGCGCTCCATATGGATGTTTCCGTTTTTGA